CTAGAATCCAAAAATTCATTTGGAACCACAAGAGACCTAGAATAGCAAAAGCCATTATAGGCAACCAGGTGTACAATTGTTACACCAGGTGTAACAATTCCCAATTTGAAACTATACTACAAAGCCACTGTGATAAAAACAGCATGGTACTGGCAAAGAAATAGGCCTGAGGATCAGTGGAACAGACTGGAAGACACAAAAACAAATGCAGATGTACTCAGCTACCTCATCTTTGACAAAGGAGCTCACCATCCTCAGTGGAGGAAAGATAGCCTCTTTAATAAATGGTGTTGGAAAAACTGGATATCAACCTGCCACAGATTAAAATTAGACCCTTATCTTTCGCCATGCACTAAATTAAAATCCAAATGGATTAAAGATCTAAATATTAAAACAGAAACATTAAACTTGCTGGAAGGTAAGTTAGGCAGAACTCTGGAAGACATTGGTATAGGAAAAGACTTTATGAACAAATCCTCAGTAGCACGGGAACTAGCAGAAAGAATCAACAACTGGGATCTCATCTTACTAAGATAGGATTTTAATGTGAGTACTATTTTAACCTTAGGATAGAGTTTTGAATATCATAGCTTAAGATGATGTATAGATTCTCAAAATTGATGTTATCTAAAATTATAGTCCTTCACTTCAATGAGGTGATTATTAACCTAAAGTGCAATATTCCATTACTTTATTTTTCTAAATAGGTTCTTTCAAGGCTATGGTTTACCTTGAACCAAACTGAAACTATATATGTAGGTGCATTGAAAACATCAAAAAGAGTACAAAGTTGCTAGCTCTCATTGCCTGAGATTATATAGAAATAAAATGTGTAAATACAGAAGGAGAGAAATGAAGCATTTACTAGGAATTGGACCTCCTAAGTGTAAAACACTAAGGCATTATCTGAAAAATTACTGAATTCTTGCATTTACAGTTTAACAATAAGGGGGACATATTTGTAAAAACCAAGGATATCTAGATAGAATGAATATTCAGATATGAAAGAAAATATACCTAATTATAATCACAAGAAATATAAAATAAGAACAGAAACTATCTTAGCATAATATACCTGGGACTTGAAGATGAAAACTACAAGAGAAATAAGGTGGGACAAAAAATTCTCAAGCTTGTCTGAAAAAATAAATAGGTCAAATTCAGTAGAGACAGCAAAAACTAATGAAGAAAAAACAGCCCATTTTAAACACAATTATCCCTCTGCAGTAGACTGCTTAATGTCATCACAACCTGTAAATAAGCACTTGTATATGAAGAATTTATTTTGATAAAATTATGCATAAAGGTACAACAAATTGAAAAGCAGCAGGCTGTAATGGTGATACAATAGGAAGAATCTTCTAACATTTTGCAAAGTATACTTTACAGAATGCTATGGTAGTAGGTATCAAAGTTAAAAGTATCCATAGTCAGCTTGAAAAACTAGATTAAACTAGTGTTTTTACAGGATGACTTCTTTAAAAATGTATGTTATGTTTTTTTAAGCAGAATGAAACTAAACCAGAATATCTTACAAGATTTCAACTACGTTGAAACACACTGGAAACATTGTTAGAAATTTAGTTTTCCTTCCTTCCCACTGGACTCCAAAATATCACTTACACATAAAATGTGAAATTATGAAAAGGAGTGAAAATCAGAAATATATATTAATCACATTTCTAAAACAAAAAGACCATATTATGAACCATATTAAAAAGGAAAATATTAGTATACTTATAAAAAAGTAGTGAAATTAAGCATATTAAAAATAAGAATATAAAAAGATTGCTGCAAAGATAATCAACATAGGAATCATACACAAATTATTTTAAATGAATTTAAAAATCTTAATAAATAGCCTTGTGAAGGGCCGGGAATTTAGCTCAGTGGTGCCATGCCTGCCTTGCAAGTGCAAGGTCCTGAGTTCAATCCCCAGTACCAAAAAAAAAAAAAAAAAACCCAAAAAACACAAAAATAAGGTGGATAAAGCTCAGGGACATGAAACTCTGGGTTCAGTTCCCAGCACCCCCGAAAAGTTTACAAATACATATGCAATGGACATAGTTCACTAGAAAAACAATTAGTAGACAGACATGGAAAAGGTTTTCAACATCCATCATCAAATACAACAATAAATGTGAAGTACTATATTATCCTCAAATGGATTTCTTCCTATTTTTTTTTTTAGAAAGCCTATGTAAGGTAGCCAAGGAAAATCTTCTGAATTATGATACATGTAAATTATGCATCACTTCTCACTCTGCCAAGCATAATATTCCTTTGCGTATTAAACATTTCACCTTCTCTTCCTAGTTCCCACTCTGTGATGGATCTCACACAAAACACAACGAAGAGACTGGAGACAACGTGGGACCTCTGATCATCAAGAAAAGAGAAACTTAAATGGACACTTCTGATGATACATATCAACTCTCTGTGGCTGTGATGTTACCTGATTATTTAATTAGAATGGCTACCACTTCTGTCTAATTCACCTCCCCCGAATTCTAGATGTGGTATATTGCAAACTTCAGCTTTTGTGTTTATGGTATTTGCCTTACTTGTTGAAACATTGTGGTGCACATTTGTTTAAGCAGAAAAAAAGAAAAAGCAAAAGGAACAACCAACTTCATGGCTTGTGGATTATTTTAGTCTTTTAAGAATCCATTGCTTTACTTTTAAAATGATGGTATTAGAATATAGTTGTATGTTGAAGTTAGCATATTAAATTCTCAAAATCATGTATATGCAGATCATACTTATAAATTTCAAAGAAAAATTATTCCCTTAAGTTAATCACTTAAATTAATCTAGATGATAAAGAGGTATGATTAAGCTACATTAATATCTTGATACAATCTAGGAAAATCCTGTTATGACCTTGATTTTCTTCTTGGCGCAGTGGTAATGACACTAAAAAAAATGTGGTTTCCATGTTTTCACAGTTTTCAGTCAAAATGAACTGTGAATGTATTCTATGTAATTATAAATCATCCAGGTCAGTAATAAAGGGACAACAACTTCCTTTGTGTTCATCTTCATGGATATTCACTATTGATCCATTAAAGAACCAATAGTAGGAATTTAGATCACAGTGATCATAGATTCAAAGTGATCATGAAGAGTGTCTTTAAATGTAATATTCCAAAATGCTGGCCCGAGGAGCAACCAGCACTCCAAACTGAGGACATGGAAAGAGAGCACCCATGTTCAGTCCCTTGATTGCAAAGCCACACCTCCGTGACAGAAATGGTAGGCACAAGATTTGATCAGAGGCATGAGAAAATGTTTTATTTCCCACTCTGGATAATCAACCATGTGACTTGTAAAGAAGCTACTTTGGAAATTTTTAAATATTGCATGTTGTTTTAAGAGATATAGTCCTTTTTCTTAAAAGTTAAAATGTAAAAAGTATTTATATAATATTCTTCAAACATTCTGCAGAAGCTATACATTCATTACTGATTCCAAAAAAGGAAAGTAATACTAAAAATAATTAGATGTAATAAAAGCATTAAAACAGGAAACATTAATATTTTAGTTAGGCTTTAAATTTTCTAGAGGAGAAGGGAAAATGACAAAATAGACAATTTGGGCAAACAATTTGAAATTGATAGAGCAGGTAAAAATTTCTTTTAGTACACTTAAATTCTCACTAGTAATCACAAGATTCCATCTGCTAAAATCCAGTTACAGTGGGTGGCACAAGAATCCAACCAGAGAGCAGTATCCCTAAATTATATCTGGCTACTGATTGCTTCCTGTTCTGTTTGTTCATGCAGTGCTGGGGATTAACCCCAGAGCCTCTAACATGTTAGGCAAACACTTCACCACTGACCTACACCCCAGGCCCCAATCACAGATATTTTTTTAAATAACAATGTGTTAAATAGGTAAAACTTGATACTAAAATTATGTACTGTAGTTTTTTGGTTTTTTTGTTTGTTTGTTTGTTTTTGGTACCAAGGATAGAACTCAGGTCCTTGCACTTGCGAGAAAGGCAGCAGAACAGCTGAGCTAAATCCTGGCCCTGTACTGTAGTTTTAAGTAGCCTGTGAAACTGGCATGGACATGTCTTTAAAGCATGTCGCCATACAAAATCCAAAATACTACAATCTTGGTTCTTCACTTAGGGTGGAATTTTTCCATGCTCAGCCCCTCCTTTTTAAAATAATTATGAATGTTCAGCAAAAGAGATCATAGTTTTGTTTTAAAGAAAAATCTGTAAACCATAGTTTCTAATAAGGGTATACAATAGACCTTTTAATTTGAAATTATTTTATACTGTTTCATAGTTAGGAGGGGAATGCCTTTTATCTGTTCTCAACTATTTTCTCAAAGACACAGCATTATCAGGCTATGAATGGGAGGAGTATGTGATGGGATCACTACTGGAAATGATCACTATAGATTTTGATAGTTCAAAATGATTAGGGAATTGTAGTTTTGGGGCCATAGTAAAGTTTTATCACATGCTTTTGAACCAATTTCCTTCATGATATTAAAACATTTTTATATTACCAAAAAATTAGTGTGGTTAACATGAGATCTTTTACACAAACTGTGTGTAAGCAGAATGCAAGCAGATTGCATGTCATACACCTTTCATCCCCCAGCACTTTGGGAGGTTGAAACAGAAGAGCAAGTTTGAGCCCAGCCTGGGCAACTTAAGGTGACCCTTGTCTCAAAATAACTGGTAGACTCGTGCAGCCACTGTGGAAATCAGTATGGAGATGCCTCACAAAACTAGACCCAGCTGTTCCCCTACTGGGTATCTTCCCAAAAGAATTGAAGGAATCATCACAGCGATATATATGCACCCATCTTTTAATGGCACAGTGTAGAATAGCCAAAACTTGGAAACAGCCCAATTGCCTATCAACTGAAGACTGGTTTGTTTGGTTTTTTAAAAAATAAAACGGCCATAATCAGTAAGCAACAAGACATTTATAGCTAAATGGATATACACTGAGGACATACTCAAGTGAAATAAATAGGACATGTGTAAATACAAAGTAGTTTCTAGTGTAAGGATCAAAATGTATAATAGATAATGTAAAATAGGAAGAAAAGGTCCAAAGGGGAAGTTAGAGTAGGGGAAAGGAAAGAAGGGAAAGGAATAAATATGAGAAAAGGAAAAAAACAGAAACAAAGACTTAGTAAATAAGGAGGGGTGGAGGGGTTGAAGGGAGAGCAGGGAAATAGGGAAAAAATAAGAATCAGGATATACCATATAAAGGTACAAATTCGCAATGATTAATGTCATACTGTATACCTAAAATGTACCAATAAACTTAATGAAAAACCTTCTAAAAAAAGGGCTGGAACTGTAACTCTGCAGAGACCCTGGGTTCAGTCCCCAGTACCACCAAAAAATGTGTGCTATTATTGTTCTAGTTTAAGTACCTTAAAGCTTCAAATTACCTTTTTATTTTATTATCAGGCAAATGGGGCTCCCATCCTTTTTTCTCTGTTATCCCTTATGTTCCCAGTGATTCCTGCACAAGATCTTATGCTAGGTTGAAAACTTTCTAATGTAGAGATCTTGTTTTGTAGTGATTTAAAGTGACATTCATCTGTACATGCCACAGACTTTCATTAGCCATCTATAAACCATGTAATCAATTGAGTATGAAGCATGTTGCAGAATCAGAAGCTCACAGATTGTTTAATTTATGGCATAAAGTATATTATTGTGGTGACTTGATTGGGGGTTACTTTATAAATTATAACACCCGTGGTATATATACCAAATATTTCTACTATAAAACAGATGAATTTGTTTTATTTTGTTGGGGGTGTTTGGCTTGTTTAAAGATAAACATTGACTAAGGTTCCTAATTAGCAACATAAGTAGTGTTAGAGTATCTGTGAGGGTGTACTATTCTCCCTGCCTCATCAGCCTCCAAGAATGCTGGGATTATAGGCATGGACCACTATTACCTGCCTCTAACCTTTATCAACACTGGTTCCCTGTCATTCTAGACAACAAAATTTCTCAGCCTTCATCTTCCCCAACTACTTACAATGTTCATGTGAACATTTTCGTATTTCTTCCTTTGCATCTCTCCCATCAAAGAGCATTTTCATCGTTGCTCAGAGCAACCGCATCCCTCTTTTTCTTAGAATCCACAGGGAAACTGCTACTAGCACAGGAGCTAAAATGATTTTCCACTGCACCTGCTTCAGTTTCAACCCAGGACGCCGCCTAGTGTAGATTGTCTGAAAATGAAAATACTAACTCGTGACATTTTTTAAAATGTAGTCATATAGGGAGTTGATTTAAATCCCTGGTACTGTTGTATCCCTGTGTATTTGGTTACTTGCAGCTATTTGCATTTCTGACCTCTTTATGCTTTTGACACCTAGTTCGAGAACTCTTTGACAATTGTTGGGGATTTTTGTTTCACCCCTGAGGGGGAAAAAATTTCAGTTTTGGTCATTACAATATACTCAGTATCCAGCACAGGAAAAAAGTCTGTAATAGATGTTCAGTAAACACTTGTTTAATAAATAGATTCAAATGCAAATTTTAAAGGAATACAAAGATCATTGTGCCAAGAAGCCAGTATTTGTCTTGTTCTACCCCAAACTCTAAAAATTTTTTTTAAATTATTTTTCTCTATCTAATGTTCTCAAGTTTTGATTTTTGAGTTAAGAAAATTAATAGCTATTTTATCCTAACAAGATTGACTATAACCTACCTAATCAACACTTCTGTGGTGAACTTGGTATTAAAACACCGCCAAACAACAAAAACTGCTCTCCAGGGTATAGCTCAGTGGTAGGGGTACTCCAGTTTGCCTAATTGCCAGTATTTGACCCCTGGCACCAGAACAAAAAACAACAACAACAAAAACCTACCCAGCTTACCTTGAAAGCCTGTATGCACGGGGTGCCTCATAATGAAGCGTGGTAATTGGGTACTGTAAACCCCTGAAACATTACCAGAGACCTCTGCAATAGACTCCAGTCTCCTGCTTAGTGTATGACGCAAGCCTGAGGAAAAAACTAAAAGAACTAAGACAGACAGAAAGTGGGGCACCAGGATGACCAATGCCAGTGCAATGGGCAAAGACAATGGCCAGTTCAAGCCACTGATTTCTATTGGTAATCCGTTGGGGTACAGGTGAGCTATGTACAAGGGCAGGACTATGGGAAAATGTGCAGTCATGTGGTTTCTATGGGAATTAATGTAAGCAAGGCTTATAAAGGACAAGACAGCATTCTCAAATTAGGAACAGAATAGGCAAAATATATCGTTGTAATTAAAATGTCCTGGTTAAGAAAGTTTTAGTTGTGGGAACAGAATTGGGGTGTGAGTTACTCTGATCTTGGCACTGAAAAAAGAACGGTGCTATGAATCGCAGTACCAGGAGCAACCTTTTTTTTTCCCCCCAGCACTGAGGCTCAAACTCCGGACCTTGAATTTTCGAGGCAGGTGCAGTTCCACTGAGCTAAGTCTCTAGCCCTGGGAGCAACTTTCTTGCTGTATTCCCTCACCCTCCTGCAATGTGCATCTGCTTCAAGTTTGTCTCCACTCCCTCCTGGTCAGGTGCACCTCTCAGTTGCTGAGCTGACCACTGATTGCAGGGTGCAGAAACAGCCAGGAATACTGCAGATGATGGCCTCAGCCACTTGGCAGTCTCCCTCCCCACAGCTTCTAAACAGTCATTTCAAGGGACATTGGCACAGTGACACAGCAGCTGCCACAGTGTGCCAGACTCTGGGGCTGGGATTGAGACTGTTGGGACCCTCACCGCTATTTAGATCGGGAGCCTTTTATAGAATCAGTAACTCGTCTACCCCATTCCAGGCTTTGCCCTCTCAGAGGCCATAGGGATCTTTTGCCTGAAGGTGGCCTGCTTCATCTTTGCCAAGGGAAGGAGTCATCTTCATCTCCCATAACCCACTCTCCTATCTGCCTTGTATGTTCCTTTTCCTGTCTCATCCCTAGGCAGTCTGGGAAAAGTGTTTGGTTCAGGATTTGGCGGAAAAGACGATATGTGATAATTGGAACGTGGCTGTGTTGGGGCCTGTGAGCTGAAGGGAGGCCCAGTCAGATGAGGTTCCCAAAGAAAGAACATGCATGGAGTAGACAAAAAAGTAGGAACCAGACTTTAATTTCCAGCAGCAGAGCAGAGCAGAGCTGGAGCCGCAGCTCTAGAGCTCGAGCTTTATGTCTTTATCAGCTTTTCGGAGACACAGCAAGACAAAACGTGACCATGCACTGCTGTGTGCATAGCTGTGCGTGGTGGTCCATACTGATGCATTATTATTATAACAGCCTGTCATGCGCCTGTGCTAAATGACAAGAGCTGTGTCCTCAGGTGTCTTCAGGTGCCTTCAGATTCCTGAACTTCGACACATCTGCCAGAGGCCCTCTACAGGCTGCTATGAAAAAGACTAAAGTTTCTGTTGCTTGTTTGGCAAGTTGGACAGCTTCTAATTGCATTTATGACCTCCTTAAGGGCAGTCTTATGAGTGTAACAAACATGGGCTTCTAATTGAGACTTAAGCTCAAATCCCTGTTCTACCCTTAATGAGTTGAGATCTTGAAGAGATTATTCGATGGTTAATTTTATGCATCATTGTGATGGGATCCCAGAGTGCCCAGATATGTGATTGAACATTCTTCTGAGTGTTTTTATGTATGTGTCTGAGGGAGATTAACATTTAAATTGATAGAATGAGTAGAGCTAATTGCT